CAAAATTCAAGACTATTTGGTACAACAAGGTCTTGATGTTGCCTTGGAAGATGTAAAGCCATGAGGTATGAAAAAAGGTGATAGGAGTATGATCTGGAAAAAGGCTATTAGCAAGATTCGATTGGCACTCACCGCGCAGATAAAGATTACCGTGTTGACGGAAACATCGCCGAAGAGGTTGTGGGATACTTTGGAGAGTAAATTTGCCACGAAGACGTTGACTAACGTCTGATTATGAAGATGGATCTATACTCTTTGAAGATGGTGGAATGAGGTAATATAATTGACCATACTAACAAGTTTAATGAACTAGTATGTCGACTGTTGAATGTAAGAGAGGAAATTAAAGAGGTAGAGCAAGCGTTACTCTTGTTAGCTTCATTGCCCAAGTCCTACAAGCCGTTGGTGCAATCAATGTTAGTTGGAAAAATTACATTGAAATTGAATGAGACAATAAAGGTTTTGAAGGAGAATGACAAGATAATGGGAAATGAAGGCGCTTCAAAGGAGAGTCAACTACTAGATGTGGGGAGTTTTGAAAGAGGGAGGAAAATGAAGAGTGACCGTGGTGGAAGATTGAAATCTCAGCCGAGAGATTACAACCCTGTTGAGTATCATTATTGTGGAGAGCTTGGTCACATTCAAAATTACTGTCGACTTTTCAAAGAAGACTTGAGAAGTCTGAGAAATTTGAAGGGTAAGTCGAAAGTTGAGAACTCCGCGAACGTGGTCAATTATGAAGGTAATTTACTTCTTTTAAATACAAATCTGGTTGAGAATTCTAATTGGGTGATGGATTTTGCTGCCGATGTCCATATATGTAAAGATCAAGATTTATTTGATACTTTGCATACAAAGGGAGATTTTGGCTATATCAATGTGGGGAATAAGATGAAGCAGCGAATTGAAGGCATTGGAAGAGTTCCCTTGAAGCTCCACAATGGTAATATCAAAACAATTTTTAATGTAAGGTATGTGTCTACTGTTGGAGCTAATTTTATTTCATTGGGAGAGTTGGTTTCACATGGGCATAGATATGTTGGCACTAAAAATCTATGCAAAGTGTACAAGGGTGACAACTTGATTATGCAAGGGAGGAAGAAACAAAACAACATCTATTATCTAGATGGATGCGCCTTGCGAACAAATGTGGAGAGCAGCAATGATATGAAGAATCAGAAAATCGAGAAGAGAGTTCATTTTTCTGACATGGTCGAAATATGTGAGACTATGGGAAGAGGGAGGATTTGTTGTGTAACTTCTCATATCTCACATCGCAAGGATGATAAAAAGGTAGGGGCATTGGATCCTATAAATTGACCCATTTGAGTCATATTTTAGATGATGACAACAAACCTTTTTCTTTAGTAACTAGAGAGAGTGAAATTGAGATTGGTGAGTTGTTGTGAGACGGTTTTACAATTTTGTCCGTGCAAAAATTGCAATAAATATTCAAGTGGATTATCCCATTTTGGGATCGTGGATATAGGTCTATTGTGAGACCAAACCACGTTAAATTCTCGTGTCTTACTATTTGTTTATCTTTGTTCCCTTGTGTGTTCCCAACAAATAAGATGGATCAAAATCATAAAAAAAATATGCAAATTTTTTTATAATACACATGTACTTTGGAAAGTCAACACCATACTCCTCCATGATTTAGAAATTGCATAATGGTTATATACTAAGAAAACTAAAAACAAACTCAAAAGTATTTATTGTTATATCACTCAATGTTCAAAAAATATAAAAGAAAAGAGCCTTTGACCAATATATACAATAAGAGGGACCAAATCGGAACAAATACTCAAAATCATTTATAATCCACTTGTGATTTGAAAAATTAATCCCATATTCCTCCGTCATTTAGATATTGCACAATGTTCCCTCGTGTTTTAGAAAATATTGCGCATTATACATATTTTTAAATATTACATAAAATCCCCTAAAATGATTTTCTGCAATATTTTGAAAATACCACTACCGGAAAAATATTCAATTGTCGCGGAAAGTATATGATTCTGCGACAAATTTAATAAATTGTCACGGAAATATCGCGAATCCGTAACAATGGATATTTCCTCAGAAAGTTGCAACAAATTTGTTGCAACCTTCTGCGGGAACTCAAAAATGCATTAATGACATTTTTTCGCGGAAGGTTGCAACAAATTTGTTGCAAACCAAAACAAATTATTGCCGAGACAATTTAGATAGTACAATTAAATATTTTTTAAAAGAAATTTTAAAATAATAAAATAAAATATTCCCATAAAATATATTTAAATAGTAAAATGAAAAAAATACATTCAAATTAATTTTAATGTCAAATGAATACATTACAAGGAAAAAATATTATACAAAATTTGTAATAATATTGAGTAGGCGGAATAGTTTCATCATCGTCGTTTTCATATTCATCATCCTCCTCGTTGCGATAATATTGTAAGGATCAAATGAGCTAGCCATTCAGGATAATATGGCTCTGGTTTGTGGGGAATAGGATTATTGAAATTTTCAAAGTGCATACGAAGGAATTTCGTCACCTACAAAAAAAAAAAATTAAAAATTAGAATCTAAATTTTAAAATAAAATTTATCAATAATATTAGAAAAAGAAGAAGAAGACAAACCTGATCTAATCTTTGATTAGTCGCTCGCAACTCTTCCTTAATTTTCAAATGCTCATCCATTGATAGACTTGAAAAAGATGCAGATGCAACATGTTGTGAATAGGAAGTTCGAAGTTGAACATTTACTATCTTACCTCTAGAGCCAAGTCCTGGGACACGGCCTTTTGTGTTGAAACCACCAAGGGCACTAACAAGTTTTTTTGGATCCAATTCAGAAGTAGAGCTATATTCAGAATTTTTTTTAACTCCGCCTAAGAATTAAAAATTTTGAAACCATTATATTCTATTACTCAATATAAAAAAACAAATATTTTAAATAAATTATACCTCGAGAGCTGCAACATCTTGAGTAGGTACTTCATTTTTTTTACTATAACATTGACGATAAAGTTCTATTTCAGTTTGTGTGCGTCCTAATTCGTCGCTCTATAAAATAAATATCATTAAATGTATATAATACAACAATTTATATTTACAAACTATAATAAATTAAATATTACCATAATCTTTCGAACACGACCAACAGATCGAGCGCCCCCACAATATTGATTTGCAATTGCTGTCGGATTTTTTTTTCTATTTTCTTTATTTCGTTCAACCATATCCTGAAATTCTTTAGAACCCCATTGCTCCTTCATTTTATCCCATTTTTCAAGAGAAATCCATGCGTATTTGGATCAACTCTTTCGTACATCCAAACTCGATGATTTTGCGAATATACATAATAAATATTTTAATTATGATAAACTAAAATATAAAAAGGAAAATAGAGAGAAAATGAAGAACTAAAAGAATAGAACATTTATATGAATATGAATGATTGAAATAACAAAATCAACTTAATTTATAGAGTTGGAAACATGTTAATTTATGTAAAATCATAAATAATATTATTGAAAATTGTAACTATTAACTAATATTGAAAATTTAAATCTTTTAACAAATTGAAATTTGAAAATTTTAAACAATTGAAAATTGTGAGATTAGCATTAAAAATTGTTTCTATCAATTAATTTCTCCGTTATCAAATATTTTCTCATAATATATTTTACTTATTGAATATATTTATAGTGGAGAAAATATATTAATTTCTGTAAAGTTGAATTATATATATATTATTGAAAATAGTAGCCACAAGTAAAATTGAAAATAAATTTTTTTGAAAAAAATAAAATTATTGATGACTTAAATTTTTATTGATTCAAAAAATTAGAAGAACTATCACATAAATTTTAATAAATTATTTAATATATTATATTTTCAATGACTAAGTGTATGCATTATAATTATTAAAAAATACTAATATTTATATTTAAGGTTATATCATGATGATAAATTTATAATTTTTTGATTTTGTAATTTAATATCTAAATGATAATACTTAAAATATTATCAAATAATTTATTTTAAAAATACCTATATTAAACGTTATAAAAATTTGTTGGGAGGCAGAGTGACTTTGGGTTTTTGTAACTGCAATAGTTGTGAGCTCATGTGTTCTTATGTTGTAGACACCGGATAAGGGATGTTCTAATATTAGAAGTCAATAACATATTTGTTTAAAAAAACTATAAAAATATATAAAATTTTAAAAATTATTAATAATATTCATTTAAGAAATTAGAAAAAAATATTATTTTTTAAAATATATTTTTTGAAATAATATCTTATTCAAAAAATTCATGATAGTTAAAATAAAAATTAAAGATATTGTTGCGAAATTCCGCAATAAATTAAAATTATAAATAAACCATTGTCATGAAAAACCGCAACAATATATAAGACATTTTATTAAAATTATTGTCGCAAACAATCGGAACAATGTATTGTAAAGTAATTTTTTATTTTTAATTTTAAATTATTGTCGCGGAATGTTGCAACAAAATTGAAAACAATAAATTTATTCATCGTTTGTTGCGGACAACCGCAACAATGCATTGTAAAAAGTATAAAAATAATTTATTTTTTTTAAACTATTGTAGCGGAAAGTTGCAACAAATTTGAAAACAATAAATTTATTTTTCATTTGGTGCGGCCTTCCGCGACAAATTGGACAAATTAATCATTGTAACAAAGATTGTTGCGGAAGTCCGAACAATTAATTTATATATAATTTTTATTAAATATTGGATAGAAGTTGTGACAATATATTATTCCGCGACAAATTTTTGGTGACATTATCATTATTTTTTAGTAGGTTACAATAAAATTTCATGTAATTTTTAAATCATAAAAGAAAATAATACATACATTCTAAACCACAAGTGGGTGATAAGTACTTCTGCCTAACAAATAGAAAGCAACCATTATGAACTCAATTGTAACATAACAAATAAAGGAGAAGCAATTCTAATATAACCAAATAAATAGGAAGTAATGCAACCCACTCCCAACCTAACCTAACAAATAAATAACAAATAATTACTGAATGATTCACGATACATCTACTATAGAAACCATATGATACAATGATAACCAGCACACACCATACATTAATATAATATAAATACAATACATGAACTAATATAACCCAAACTATTATTGATCTCATCACAAATTATATGTCTATGCAACACATCCTATAAATATGGACAAGCAGTCAATTTTTTATATGTTGACCGGACAAATTAAATCATTATGGTGTTGATCTTCATATTCGTTTTCGCCGATGGTAGACCTTAAAAAACCTACGCTCTTGCACTGTATCATCCATTCCACCCTCCACAAAAGTTTCTTGTTTGATAGGCACGAGTTCGGCCTCCATTGGGATTACAGGTCGAGAGCCTTCCATTCTCTCCTGGGAAATACCTCCCATTGGTCTGCTAAATCCTAAACCATTGAGATGCAATGTTAAACTAAAGAAATATTGAAAAACATATGACATGCAATTTGTATTGATTTTTCTCGAATGTAGTCAAAACCAATAAAGATAAAATGACGGAGAGGAAATAATAATAAAAGTATCCAGACAGTGTGTCAACTCTGTTCAGTCATAAATGCAAGGATTTAGAATGTTATAAAAGATCGGATGCAATGAAAATAGTAAACTAAAAAAAGCAAATACTATACCAGGAGGCGGGCTTATAGGGTCCTCTTGTTTTACAGGAACAAGTTCTGCCTCCGGTGGGATTACGAGTCTGGAGGCATCTATTCTTTCCAAGAAAATACCTCTCATCGCCTTGCTAAACCCTAAACCATTGAAAGGAAATTTTAAACTAAAGAAATATTGAAAACCATATGACATGCAATTTATATTGATTTTTTTCTAATATAGTAAAAACCAATAAAGATAAAATGACGGAGAGCAAATAGATCCAAAAAGTGCCGTTTAGTCATAAATGCAAGAATTTAGAATGTTATAAAAGATCAAATGTAAAGATAATAGTAAAATAAAGAAAGCAGACACTATACCAGGAGGTGGGCTTATGGGGTCCTCTTGTTTCACAGAAACAAGTTCTGCCTCCGTTGGGATTACAAGTCTGGAGGCATCCAATCTTTCCAATGAGATACATCCCATTGGCTTGCTAAACCCTAAACCATTGAGAAGGAATGTTAAACTAAAGAAATATTGAAAACCATATGACATACAATTTATATTGATTTTTCTTAAATGTAGTCAAAACAATAAAGATAAAATGACGGAGAGCAAATAGTAATAAAAGTATCCATACAATGCCATTCAGTCATAAATGCAAGAATTAAGAATGTTATAAAAGATCGAATATAAAAATAATAGTAAAATAAAGAAATCAGACACTATACCAGGAGGAGGACTTATAGGGTCCTCTTGTTTCACAGGCACAAATTTTGTCTCTGTTGGGATTATGAGTGTGGAGGCATCCATTCTTTTCAGGGAGATACCTCCCATCGGTTTGCTAAATCCTAAACCATTGAGATAGAATGTTTAACTAAAGAAATATTGAAAACCATGACATATAATTTATATAGATTTTTCTCAAATACAGTTAAAACCAATAAGATAATAAGATGGAAAGCAAATAGTAACAAAAATATCCAGACAATGCTAACTTCGTTCAGTTACAAATGAAAGAATTTAGAATGCTTTCAAAGATTAGATTTAAAGAAAAAAATAAAACAAAATAAAGAAAAAAGTATACCTGGTGGCGGCATAATTGGGGTTGCATCAAGGTGAATGGATCCCCATTTCTTCCCGATGATTGGCTCTTTCCCTTTTCCATAACTTTTCCCGTTTATTGCATCTAATAAATTACAACACGGATAAAAAAATTGGCTTTGATTGATACCATGGCATAAAATAAACCCCATATCCAACTTCATAAGGTATATAATTTGCATAGATTTAGCATTGTCAACGAAAATAAAATGCACGCAAATAGCTATAAATTCATGTTTCAAGACCAAACTCTTGATAGATTTTTTGCACATTCACTTTTTAGAGACCAACCAATACTACTCATGAGAACCCATGAAAATAAACACTAGCCTATTCACTAAATCAACTAAACAAATGTAAGAAATAGGACAATATTAACAGAAACAGAATACCGTTAAAGTTATCATCAATGTTAGAAAACTAGAGGAAACAAGTAGGGAGGTAGAAGTTATCTCACCATTATGGATATCAGAAATAAAGACTCCCTTTCTTTGAGGAATCCCCATGGCTGCAGTTTGAGGAGCTGATCCTATTTCGGAAATTCCCTCAACTCCAACATGATTGTAGTTGTGATTGTTCAACTGTCGCACCGGATAGGTGAAGCAAGTTCTTTCACAGCCACTTGGATCATATATTTGAACAGAAATTTGCCTATCTCCTACATAGTTAAATATCAAGGAACATCCTCCCTCAAGAGCATGGTCCCTATAAAATATTTTCCATCCTGATGCGAATGCTAATGCATTGTCAACATAGGATAGAGTTACGGGCCAGATCTGCCCACATAAATCCTCAAGGAGGATTTCTTGGTCCACCAAGTGCTCCACCCTTGGAGCAAATGAAGATGGCAAGCGCTGCAAAAATATTAAATTTTTTACAAGACATGCTTTATAAAAATTGCAGAAATTATAGAAGAATTTCATCTACACAGATCAACAATTTGGCTATTAAACATCCCAAAAATATAACATTTAGTACTCAACATGTTGGTGGGTGATGAGAGGATACTTTCTTAATGCAATAAATTACTTAAAGTTCAGTAATTTTTCGCCAAACCACCATGTTTTCATCCCATAATAATAAACACTGCATATTACAACATGATTACAAGCAACATTATCCCAAAGGTTAAGACTAAAAAGTCCAAAAATTCAACTTGAATGAAAGAGTACCAGTGCATGTGAGACATCAGCATCATCCAATACATGGAAAAAGCGGGGAATTAATGGTGATAACTCCTTCTCGGTCAGGTGAGATATGGAGCCCTCATGACGTCTATAAGCCATTTTTTTTTGTTTTTAACCTTCATTGACCAAAATGTTAGAAAAAAGTGTCATGAAATCCATGTAGGATAGAAGTCAAGGTTCATGAAAACAAGAACATTCAAGAATGACTTAGAACACATGGGTAAACACACTTTAAATTGTTTCGAAATAACTGCCACTCCAAAACCACTTAAACATTAAATTTATTTGAATGTTCAGATTTAAATGAACTACATACCCATAGTACAATTTGAGGGAGTAGAAAGAACCTCTACATCATGATGTCCCGATCCTTTAATAACTACTCCACAAAATAAATACTCCACAAACTAGAGAGTAACATGGATTCATAATTATTTGAAACTCAAGGTGCACCTTGTTGCAAAGGTATCCCATAAGGCATGGGATAACAAAAGTATATGTGTTTGTGTGTTTATAGATTTCAACAGAACTTTACTCACAATCATATATTAGATATTATTTATTTATTTATTTTAAAAAGATAACCATTCAGAGAAAATCCACCATTATTTTGTGAAATTTCAACCATTAATCCTATGTAAAGAAAGAAAGGGGAAAAAAAATTCTGATTATATTTAATAATCTTCTCAATCTAGCAAATCATAGTTTCCTAAATAAAATCTCTCGTTACACCAATTTAACAATTCCACTCATAAATCGATATAAAAAGATAAATCCAAAAACAAAAGAGCTATCAAAACAAGACTAATAAAGAAAAAATTAGATCATGAAAATTCATTCAAACACAGGGTCAAATACGGCTATAGAGACAAAGAATACAATAAATCAACATGAAAAACATACATATTGAAGACTTAAGGTGCGAAAAATCTCAGCAAAACAAAGTAATATGTAATCTAGAAAGGCTAAAAACATACTTCAGAAGATGGAACAAAAGCGATAATGAAAATCTCAAAGCTAATAAGAGGATAGGGCTGCCGTAAGCGGATATCAGGGTATATATAGCACCCCCGACACGAAATAAGGGAAGAGGGAAGGGGGAGAAGCCACCTACCTGATCGTGGCCGAACCACGGCCGGAGAGAAAGGCGCGTGGTAGTGAAAAACCTAGTTCTAGAAACTACAAATAATTATTCTTTAAAAAAAAAAAACTTACAACCAATCAGGTTTCAATTTCGAACAACATGAGGATTATCAATGAATAGATGTATGAAAACTTACCTGGTGGGTCGGCGCTGGAGACACTTTCCAGTGATTGCACCTGAAGATCTAACTTCAATAGAACGACGGCACTGGGAGGGAATAGAGGCAGCCCTAAATTTTTCTAAGGGTGTGTTTGTTTGGGAGAGTTTCCCAAATTTCCACTATTCATCAAAAACTTCCGTTGGGGACAGAAAACTTCCCTCAATAAATTCAAAAATAAAAAATAAAAGCACAAACACGTTTTTAAAAGTAGAAAAATGTATTGAACAAATAAATTTGAGACGCATTTACTAAACAAGGGTCATGCTTGATTAACAACATAAATGATGTATAATTAATAGTATCTCATCATTGTAACAAATATGATCTTTCAACATAATATCATACAACTATTATTCCATAAGAAAAAGTTACTATACCATAAGCTATACCCCCTCCGGCTTAATTTGTTTACTATAAACTTTCTCTTTTCTCTTTGTCAATACAATTTATACAAGCATCACAAATAAATAATAAGGGCAAAATGGTCAAAACTCTATCAAAATTATACCTAGAGCTGGCAAAGATAGGCACAGTTCAAAAAATCAATCCAAACCCGCCGTGAATAAAAGCCGTGCTTGGGCCTCTAAAAGAAGGCCTGAAATTTTGTGGGCCGTGTGTGGCCCAGCCCGATTTATTAAAATTAATATTTCTAATTAATATCTTTATATGTATATTAATTAATGAAATAATGATAAAAATCAAGATGTAGCTTGATGGTACTTGTCTTGTTTATATATGGTTCCATTTAATAAAAATTTTGTTAAATTAATTTAAAACAAAAAAAATAATTCAAAGTAAACCAAAAAATCCTGGCATAGCTCGGTTTCAAACCAAGTTGTGCTCAGGCCGGGCGTGCCGGTTCGGACTATTTTAAAATCAATTGACTCAAGAAAATAATATATTTCACGGCTAACTTTATTTTAAATAAAAATAAATACAATAATATAAAATAATTTAATTCAACATAAATTAGACAACAATAAATTTAAAAAAATAATTTACACAAAATAAATTAAGTAACATAATAAATAAATAAATAAGAATAAATTAGGCCAAAATAATTTAATCTCATATAAATTAATTAGCACACATTATTTATATGGCTTAATGAATAATAAATTAACTATGCCAAATTGAAATTGAACACTTCCCCACTGCATATTTGAGATTAAATCACCGTGAGGCTAGCCTTCGGGTTCGCTTGCGGACCCGCTCACTCCTTCCGTTTGTTTTCGCCACTTGGCTGATGAAGTAATTGGGAGAATCGTGCAAGTGGAGCCTCCATGGCTTCAGCGGTGGCTTCCAACGGCTTAGGAGAAGACAACGGCCCTGTCATCTTTAGCAGCGGTGTAAAGAGGACTTCGAATCACCGCCCTGTCATCTTTAGCAGCGGTGTAAAGAGGACTTCGAATCACCGCTTGCGAGCGGAGTTTACAAGAACAGACTCGTTTCAATTTTATTATTCTAAAGGGACGAGCGGATCATCGCGTAAGTCCTGAATGTACAGAAAATTATGATTAATATTATTTATTATTACAGTTATTATTATTATTAGTAATATTATTTATTTATTTATTTATTTATTATTACTATTATTATTATTATTTATATAAAAGAAAGAGGCAGCGCCTGCGCATCAATTTATTTAATTATTTATTATTATATATATGTTTAGAAGTTGTTGTTATATTATTTATATTTATTGTTATTATTATTATTATTATTATTATGCTATGAATTTATATATAGAAGAAGAAAAACAGAGAAATGGAAGACAACATAGGCAGAACTGAGGCAATGCTGCAAGCGGTTGAAATTTTTTTGAAAAGGATAGATACTATCCAGCTTTGATCATTGAAGGATATCATATTCTCGAAATCTACAAAACATGCTGCTAATGGATTAGATGTTCAAAATAAAAATAAATTTCAGAATTAAAAATAAATTAACATTAAACTCAATATTTTCCAATTATAACAAAGATACTTACACTTATTCCCCGGCAACGGCGCCAAAATTTGATCGAAGAGTTTTGGGAGATTCTAAAAAAAAAAAAAAAAAAAAAAAAAAAAAAATATCTTTCAAGATACGAAAAATGATATATGTATAAAATGAAAATAGTATCGTGCGTGTTCGTGTAGTAACTCCAAAAATTTCGTCAAAAAATAAAAAATTCTCTTTAATCGGTGAGTGTCCGGGTCGAGCTCAGGGAATATGGGAATATCCTATATTTAATTAGAAAAAGTGCAATGAGTTAATGCAATCGAAAAAACTGAAAAGATAAATTGCAGAAATTAAATTTAACTAAAAATGATAAAATATACTTATCTCGAAAAGGATGGAACGAGGTGCTTGTGTCTGACTTTTGCGTTTCTCAATGGCTAGAATTCCATGGATGAAATGAGCGAGATGACAATGGTGTGATAGCGAAAAATATATGTAAAATTGCGGGGCGGCTCGGAGGAAGGAGTGTGATCGCATGTGCTCGCTTAAGCCCAATTCTCGACTCGGTTGGTACTTGACCTTAGGGGATTTACAACAAGGCTTCAGCGACACCCGACGAAGAACATTATAAGCAAGAAAGTCTACTGTCACTAGAAATTCTTTGGCCCAATAGATCCACGCCTATGCGTAATTAATTATTCTTCCAACCTTCCGATAGTGGCTTTACCACTGTGTTACTTCTTTTAATCAGAATCGAATTCAAAACAACAACTAAGCAAGTCGACAAGGCTCCCGCATACTTAGCTAAGTTGAACTACCTAGAATATGTTAATGAATACAACGCGAAACTAGGCTAAAATAGTCAATTCTTCTATATTCTTCCACAGCCTTGTCGAAATCTAGCTTGAACAATTCAAATCAAACATGGAATTTTTTGGGTGAAGGTGAGGTAGAGAAATATGACAGGAATTTTATTAGCTAAAATAGTATGTTGGAATTAAAAGAAAATGAAGGAATCAACTTGCTCACGACACAAAGCCGAAAAAACTCATATTATTAAACTAGATAAAAGTATGGAGGAAAAAAAATGGAGAAAATAGAGTGTACGGAATGATGGGTAGTGTGTATGGTTATTTATATAATATACAAAGAGAAGAGATATAGGAGAAGGAAGCTTCTAGAAGCTTGGCGGTTACATCCGCTCATAAATAACTACCTCGAAAAATAGCTATTAATACTTATTAACTTACTAATAACTAGCTATTTTGTAGAAGATTTTAGAATAAAAAAATACACAAAACAACCCAAAAATTGGCTAAGTAATGATGCATGAATTAAATTAAGAGTGCGGGGAGAATGTTGTGCAGTAAATGCAGCAGCTGGGGGTGCATGAGACATAAATGCAGTGAAATTCTATGCAAAATTAATGTTGGTTGGCGCAATAAATGCGTCTGCTTCACTGGTTTCTGGCCTCGCCAGCTTTCCGTGATAATAAATGTGGCGGTTGGCTGTTAATGCTCGCTGGTGTCCGTGAAACCGCATCTAGAATTCTGCGCTTGCTCAAATTTCTGCACAGCCGTGGCTTGTTTTCCGCGCAACCGCCGTTGCTTCCCGTGTAGCCGTCGCTTTGCTCACCTCCATTCATGGCCTTCCACGTTGAGTAAATGCAGCTGCCGCTTGGTTTCCGCACCCGCTGACTTCTATGCAGCCGTCATTGGAATTCTGCACCAGCGTTAACCTTTGATCATTGACTTTGCCTTTCGTGCATTGACTTTTGTTGACTTTTGCGTTGCGACTGTTTTTCGCTTCTGAAACCATTATTCATTTTTTATAGCCAATTTTGGGCTTCCAAATTAGTTTTCAAGAATTATTTTACCTGCATTAATAATAAACATCTTATAAATATTTATTTAAATAAATAATCCTTTTATTTGCCTAACCATATTCTTTAAATCATTTCCAAATTGACTTACGGCTTCTTTCAACGATTGTAGTTGCTCATATCCGAGTCCCTCTAGACTTGGGCTTCCAAAGGGTATCAAATTCTCCCTCCTCAACTTACTAGATCTTTGCCCCGTGCTTTCTCAGCAGCTATACTCTCCTCAACTCGAGCCAGATCATCTAGCTCACTTTGTTGCATCTGGGCCACGTCTCGACCCTCCATCAACTGATTGCCTACATTGATGTTCTCCGGGGTGAGGAACTTGGCAGCGATTGAGTTGATATTGGGATGCCGAAATGAATGAGCTTTGTCTCATAGGGAGAACACTACGACGCCGGCCTTTGCACCTGTTAGAGTGCAAAGCTCGCTTGCTTTTTTAAAAAGCCCGGGTCGGCGCTTTTAGAAAGTTGCTTGAAGGTCACTCTTCTTCTCTATCTTTTCTATTGGGGTTCTTGCGACGGCTGGCCTTTTGTGTTGAAGATTCGGATTGATGAAGTACTAATGATGTCAATAATGGATAAGAAGTTAGGCTTGCAAGATTTTAATGATATTGTTGTGTTTTTTCATGCATGAATGTGCTAATATTTATACTAGTCTAGACATTGTTGATTTTTTATTTTTTTTTTAGGAAAATGAAATTGATGGCCTAATTCCACTTTTAGTTTATGTAAATTTTATCATATAAATAAAATTTCTATTATTATTATCAATGGTAAATTAATTTTGGATATCAAAAAATTCTCCAAGTTTTTGACTCAAAATCTTAAAATAGAGTAGTAAGTGACATTGTGATATTGCTATTTTTTCTTGAAAATCAAACCACATCATACTTATTTTCCATTCAAAATATACATAATACTATTTAATTCTATTTTAAAAATCTTAACACATAAGACCTTCAATGAAAATATTAAGGTAGTCACTAGTTCGAATCCCGCTTACACCTTCTTGGTTGGCCTGATTTCCAGGATAAAAATTTAATGCATAAACAGAAATAGGACACAACTGAACGTACTTTATCTTTCTCTCACTACCTCTTTTTTTCAAGGAAAAAATTCTAGAGTAGGCTTAATTGCGCTTGGGCTTTGAACTTATTTTGAATTTAATTTTTGGCAAAATTGTCCATAACTCCCTTGTGGTTTCGAAACTCAGCGTAAATTTCCCTTCTATTTTAAAAATTACATGACATCCCCTTATACTTTAAAAAATGTTGCATGAAACCACTTTGTGGTTCCCAAACTCAGCATAAATCCCCATTTTACTTTAAAAAATTGCATGACGCTCACTTATACTTTAAAAAATATTGCATAAAACCCCATGCCATGCAAAACATATAGATAGGAAATCATCATCTTAGCACACAAGGAAAGTTTCATGGTGGTGGGGTTTCATGCAACGTTTTTTAAAGTATAAGGGAGTACCATGTAATTTTTAAAGTACAGGGAGATTTTACGCTGAATTTTGAAACCACATGGGAGTTATAAGCAATTTTACCTTAATTTTTTAATGAAAAATAGCTTTGCATTCTTTTTTATGGATAATTGAAATGTCAGAACATATTGAATAGCGCAAAATAAAAAACAAAGATACCAACAACTTTTGAATCATAAATTGAAATTAGTGATTTCAGATAGACAAGTACAAACTATAAACTATTTGTAGTGGAAAAAAGTTTATAACTATTTGTTATTAAGCTCGGATTCTCCCCTTATTATTTTCCTATTTATAACAATAAACGTTATTACATATACGAGAATATCGACATAGATATTGAAAATAAAAAACTGCAAACAAACATATGAAAATGGACAATATCAATTAATTTATGTACACATACATTTATTCAAAATCTAAAGGGTGTTTAATGAACGTGACAAGGAATATCAATCGTAGGTGTAAAATTTAAATATTTTCTTAATTTAATTAAGTAAAACAAAACTCCAACAATAACCAAGTAATATTTTTTAAAACAACATGATCATGTTTTCTCTTTTATTATAAAAATTATTTTATAAAAGTATTTTTTTCCCAAATATATGATACCCATAACTCATTTTTCAACCAAAGTATCACATCACACATCTATATTTATTTATCTATAAAACCAGCCATCTCTCACCCTCTCTACGGAGTTGGACTTTTTTATGTTGTTGAGAATTTAAGCCGTTCGATGTCTAACTAATTAGACACTCGATAAATATAATTAGTTCGCCACTCCTTAGCCCAACTCACAGGACTCGGTCTAAGCCCTTTAACCCAAACCAAATCATTTATGCTAAATCCAAACCCAACCCAATTCCTCAGCCCATTAATTGGTTTGTTAGGTTCTTAATTAGGAATTATAACCGCGTGTGTTGTTTGGGGTAAAATAGAAAGTGGGGGTTTTGGGTGTATGAGATATAGAGTTAGAGGGGTTTGGTGCAGTGGCGGAAGTAGTAGGGTGCTCGGGGAGGCTGAAGCCCCCTCGAGCCAACAAGAAAATTCCAATGAGTAGTAAAGCATACCCTAGATTCTAATCATTCAGCTCCCTCGATTTCGTCGGATCGCCGCTGTGGGCAATGTTTTCCAAGATATAAGAGTTGCAATCGCGCTGATTGAATAGAAAAATTGAGAAAGATGATAAAATTGGGCTCTTACAGAAGATATGGATACTAAAGTGGGCTTTGGATTGATATTTTTTCTATTGTATTAAGATAGCCCACTTATATATTTAGTAAATTTATAAATTAAATTTTATTATATAAATTTTAGGGTTAGGTTTAAAAGGATAAAATTAAATTAAATTCCATCAAATTTGTCTCTGCTCTTACTCGTCTTCTCGCTTGAATCGCCCAGTCCACTGTTGTCTGCCGCTGCCCTATCCCGAGCTCGCCGGCCGGCCGCCGCCGGTCCACCGATCATTGGAGTCCTCCTCTCTCTTTATCTGAGTGTTTTACTGTCTCTATTTTTGTTATGAAAATTCCAGGAAATTAAGATGAAACAACAAAGACAAAAGAACACAAGAATTTGGTAACCCAGTTCGATCACGATGATCTACGTCTGGGGGCGCTACCAAGCCAGGAATTTTACTACGCAGGCACTTGTTAAAGTGAGAATACATGGATATTTATAGCCTAAGCCTTTGACAATAATATTCAAATCATATCTCTAAAATCTAAAATATAATATCCAAATTATATCCCTAGATTTTAGGATATAATCAGGCTTCATATACCAACAATCTCCCACTTGAAGACTGATTTCATCTTCCACTTCAACATACCTCATCCAATCACCACTCCCCACCATTCGGTGTTCTGAATCGAACCATTCTTTTACCTACAATTTTCAGTGTCTCATCATTTGCAAGATAGACAACACCAAAATTACCTGTGATATAGGATTCCATGATTCCCGAATCACTGCATTAGTGGAATGACGCTCCTGAGACCAAAATCCATGACTCCATTGTACTGCTGACGCTCAGAATTAGCGCATCAGATATCTCTTCCGTTGCGTTTGCTGAACCCTGATCCTTCTCCGGCGCCCTACACTGTCGTTTGAAGTGCTCATTTCAGTTCCAATATACCACCTACCACCTGACTTGCATCTTCCTTGTCCGTGCTCCGGCTTCAACTTTGACCATTTTTTATCTTCACCATTTCCCTTTGCCTCAAATCTAAATTCAGTTGAGACATTCTCCCAAAGGGTTAGTCGAACTGCACTCATCGTCTTCCTGTCGATCTTCTTGTATTCGACTTCATCCATATCTTCGGATTTCTCCTTCAATACCGCATCTAGATCTTTACCATACATGTAATCTTCGCTCTGCATATTTCAGAAACCGATGTTCATACCATCGAATACCTTGACAACATGACGATCACCCATCTTGACTCCCACAAACAAACCCCAAGGCTCACTTGATATGAGAGCACATCTCTGTTATCTTCTGCCCGGCGTTTTCCGAAACCCTTATCCTTCCCTGCCTACCTTGCACCGCTTATCACAAAGGGACCCGCTACCTGACCTACCAGTCGGGACCGACCCAACACCGCCAGGAGACTTTCGACACAAGGTACTTCCGCAAGTCACAAGGGATTCCCACAGCCACAATCAATATCCGATGCCTCCCAATCCAACTTACCAACGAACCAGACTCTGATACCACTTGTTAAGGAAGTTTCCAGGAAATCAAGATGAGACGATCAAGAATTTGGTAACCCAGTTCGATCACGATGATTTACGTCTGGGAGCGCTGCCAAGCCAGGAATTTTACTACGCAGACACTTGTTAAAGTGAGAATACATGGATATTTATAGCCTAAGCCTTTGACAATAATACTCAAATCATATCTCTAAAATCTAAAATATAATATCCAAATCAAATCCCTAAATTTTAGGATATAATCATGCTTCATATCCCAACAATTTTATATAAACTGTTATGTTATATGATTCAGTATATATAAATATTATTAATTTAATTTTTTGCTAATGATTTATGTTCATTTTCTACTTTATTTATCTGTTTGGCTAATTTAGGATTTGTAAATAGATTTTAATTTAATTTAAGTACGATTTGAGATTTATATATTTAGTTCATCTCTAATTTATTTTTGCTATATATATTTGTTTAGAATTGTGCTTGATTGAGTTATAGTATTTAATTTGGTATATACAACATAAGGTTATAACTATGTTACGTGTATGTATGTGACTATTCAATTTTGTGTTCTATGAATCGGTTGACTTCTTTGTTTTTTTTTTTTTTTTTAGTCAAAGTAGTTTGTTTTTTATTTTTATAGTAAAATTTCCTCTTGTTTTTTATTTGTAGAAAAATATTTTAGTTTTTTATTTTCATTGTAAAATTATACATTTTTTTAAATATATATTCAAGTTTTAGAAAAAATCTTATAGGCAATTGAAGATAAATCTCTCTGCCTCATTTCTTATTGAGATTTAATCCCTAATAGAAATTTGTTGATCTACAACTCCCTTATTTTCAAATATTTTTGCATCTAACTCCCTAACCCTCTATAATCCCTTATCTAGCCTCAACCTCCACCCTCTATAATCCCTTATCTAGCCTCAATCTCTATTGATTATTTTTTTGGCGATTTTTCGTATCTCTTGTGGCCATCTTCATCGTCTTCTTCACACAAACGGACACAAGTTTTGTAAATATCCTCCCAAATTTTTTTCTTTCAACGGCATTTCGTTTTGCATCTTTTGCTGAAAAATTGGTGTGTTTTCTTTCTCTCAATCTTTAACCTCTTGATGAGAATACGATGCCACCACGATGCTTATAGTTTCTGGAATAAAGAACTATGGATTTGAAAAGCAAAAATTGTCTATTATTTTATATTCGGATAGAATTTTTTGTTGTGAATTCACAATTCTTTTTTTTTTTTTGTTCTATCCCCCTTTTGGAAGTCATTATGTGAATATTATTAAGGTGAATCGGTGAATAATGCACTTCATATGTTCGATAAAATGTCTCAAAGAAATCACTAAATAATTTAATATATTTTCATCCAAAATATTATGTTTTTATTCTCTTTCAAATATGTGCACTATTTGGATATCTCAATCAACGATTATATCCTCAATATTTCTCTCAATACTTAATTGTAAATTTTCTATTCTATGAGGGTTCTTTATGATAGGTTGTGTTCCTTATGTGAGAAATACATGGTTTTATATGCGTTTGTAGTAGATGGATTTTGCAGAACTGAAAACACTATTGAAGATCTTGAACTAATAAAGGTAATAAAAAAATAGTGTGCCACTAAATATTCATATTCTAAGGGTAGTTATTTGGAGTTTGTGTAGTGATAAAATTATTGATTTGATTCTTAAGATATTCTATGAAATGTCAATGAAATGTGTCTTTCCAAATATTTTCCACCTATAATGTTTTGATTTTTGGATTATGTAAGTTGATTTAAAGTTTTTATATGCATTGGAATATAATGATTTATCTCTTCTAATAATTACTATAATATTGTGATGATAAGATCATGTAGATGGAAGAATTTTGATGTTTTGTGTTATGTTTAATTTTTTTTATAGGTGTTTGGTATCAAATGTTATAATTTATAATATATTGATACTAGGACGTGACAATTTTGGATTTTTCAAAAAAAGTTGAAAATCTTTTTCAGAAACAAAGCAAGACCATTTATTTTAAGGACTACTATTTCCAGGGCGCGTGTGGTAGAGAAACACTTCAAATGAGTGTTCGATTGAGGACTTTGATGTTATTTTGGTGGTTGTTTATTGCATTGTTGCCGGGGCTCGCAGAGATTCTAAGAGAGAAGGATAGCTTAAGATCGAGCCAGGCTTGCGACATTATTTCCGCTCGAATTTATAAACAAGCTGAGCAGAGCCTGTATGGATAACATATTCGAGTCGAGCTCGAACACCATATACGCAAGCTCACTCGGCTCGTGTAACAGCTCTACCCACTTATAAAAAGTTAATGATTCAAAATAAAATATAATTTTTTATATTATCAATATAATTTTTTGTACCTAACATAAAAAAAAAGGCATTCATCCAAAAATGTAAAATGAACAAACCATGATGCAAATATGTTTGAATTTGTTATATGTTTTCTTTTTCTTTTTATCATTATGTTTTATAATTTAATGTCTTAAGAATTAAAGGTTGTTATTTTTCGAATGTGCACTAGTAAACTCTTTCTCTTAAGACGAGCATGTTTTGATTTCTTAAGTAAATATCTCTTCCACACTGTAATTTTAGAAAGGGTAGTCAAGTGGATGTGTGGATGGATACTTGTTTGAACGAAAAAGGTTTAGAATACTTGGGGTGGGATTATGATCATTATATTTAAAAACTTTTTAAAACCATCTGTAATGTATTGATAATTTTGCTATTAAAATATTATTATAGTATAGAGTGTATGTTTGTTTGGTATTTAATTTTGAACTTTTATTGAGAATTTGATTAAAATGAAATATAATGTTATTTTATTGTATTCTAAATTATTTTTTATTATTGAATATGTATGATTTTCAATAAAAAAATATTATTTTTTATACAATATCATCGAAATAATATTTAAAATAAGTTTAAATATATAAATAAATAAAACTCAAACTCAAACAAACAAAATGTCGATTTGAGTATTTAAATACTATATCTCAATTAAGTGTATTAATATAAATATTAGTATTTTATAAATAAGATATAATACATACAAATAAAAAATATATCTTTTTACATAATTAACATAAATAAGTTTTTATAAAAACAATATGGTTAATAGATTTAAGTGATTTCAAAGCACCCAGTGGAATTAATCAGATCGAACATAAGATCTTGCTACCAAGCGAAAGATGTCTCACCACTTGATATACAAGAACTTGACATTTAATTAGCTTTTACTGATTTATGTGGAGTTTTCGATTTAGTACTAGGATTGTGCACAGGGCTTTGATAAGTATCTTCTATTTATCACTGGAAGTTGTTAATAAAAAGTTTATTTTATTATCCAATGTGTTTAAAATGTATTTGATAGTTTTGGTCCTTTTTTCATCAAACAAAGGGAAAATAAAAGTAATACTTATGTGAAAACTCCACAAGGTATAACAAGATTTGAGTGCAAGTATGATGAAAAATTGTTTGAAGGACAGTGTGAAGTTTTAAGTATATGGGTTTATATATGAATATACTCGTCATTTCACATGTCATCATAAGAGTCATTTATTTAAGTCCTGAGAATAAAACAAAAAATAAATCTTGCAAAAAATAGTTCCATCGCCTATTTGCTTCAATGTGCAATCTTATGACAAAATCAACTATAGGATCCTTAGCTAGTCTTAGAGAAAACTAAAATAAATAATTAATTAAATAAATAAAATTAAAACCTATTCAAAAAATAAACAATATACCAAAAGTTGGCCGGGACAAAGAGAACCAATTTTTACTAGGATTTTGGAAAAAAAAATCGATAAAATAAAAAAATAAAATAAAAGCACAACAAAGAAGAGTACTTGAGAAGTACCGGTGGAGACGATGAAGCACGATGTGGCAAATCGTTATTTGAACTATAGAATGAATAAGTGCAAATTTGGAGGAATGTCAATTGAGATTGACAAAGACTTAATTGCAAATCATGAAAAATGTGTTTTATACATTGAATGTTAGCATCGCGGATCTCCAACAACATTTACCAAATCAACAAACCTCGATGTCTGGTGCTGTGGGGATGTACTTGTGACAGTGAGGTCATGGGTTCAAACCCTGACGCCTCCAGGTCTTATATGTCTCATACGGTTCGCCTAGTGTGACTTGTCTTATCGGACCTAGTTCATTAGGTTCGACCGAGGGTTTACCTAATGCCCACTTTCGAATAGCGACCGCAAATTCTCATATTATTAAAAAAAAAAAAGACACTACTATGATCACTCATATTGAGAAATGATCACTCATATTGAGAATCAACAATACCTTTATTATCAATACATTGTTGTTGCGATATGTTGGAATATAAAGTCGAATTCTTTATTATATTATATATATATATAATTTTGATGTAAGGGTGTGTTTCTTTATGTTGGGTTTGGGATTGGTTTGGATTTAAATTTTTTAGGAGTTTCGGGAATTTGCGTTCCTCTAATGTAGTAGGTTTTGTTAGGTTCTGAAGGATTTTATTGGATAATGATTTGATAGATAATGATTGGAGTGTTTAGATTATTTATATTATTAAAATAATTTATATTAAATATAAAAAAATGTAATAAGTATGAAGTGTGATGTTTTTCTTTTATTAATTTTTTTTCTTCGTTAACAAAAAAAGAGAAAAAGAAAAGAAAAAAATATAAATTAATTATGGCAGTAGCCTAGAGTTATGTGCGGAAGAACAAGTGGAAGAAATATTTCTTTAATGCAAGTTACGTTTGATATATAATAAAAAAGATGTAACATACGTGAAAGAGTATGCCGAATACCAAAAGTTAACAAACGTCAATGATAAAAATATGTCATGCACGTAGGCCGTCCGGTGGCGTGCAGTACATTACAAATCGTCCGAGAATTACATAAGACCGAAACAGAAATAAGCAGATAAGTATGCACGGCCGTGCCCGTGTGTTGGCAATTGACTGCGGCCCATAACCATAGAACTAGCAGAATACTGGTAAATGTACACAGCCATGCACGTATGGTGTAAATAGACTGCTTCTCGTATATATGAAAGGCAAGGAGTATGAGAAGACTCACCATGGTCAAACCCTACACATTAGCCTGCAGTTTTGTCACTTAGGATGTGGTTTCGCACACATTCACAAGCCTACGGTAACACTATAATTGATTTCCTAAACTTAACCTCAAAGGAACACACCCTAAAATACCACATTACATGTTTATATCATATCAAACGTAACATTCACAATTATTGAAATATTTGTTACTCCCAAATCACAATCCAAAATACAAACTAGGTTTTTGTTTGGTTTTGACCTAAAACAAAAATCAACATTATTCAAAACATATGTTTCAATTAAAAATATACTTTCTCAATTTGAGTTATATGTAATTATTTCGTCATTTTCGTCTGTCATACTCAATTATCTATTTTATTATATAGTAAAAATACCTTTTATTTTAATAAAAAATACTTTTATATTTTATACAATATTGCAAACAATACTATTACAAAGTAAATAAATTTAAAGAAAAATTATTTTTTATCTTTCTATTATACTATTACCTATATAATACTAATATACTAAAATTAACGTGTAAAAAAGTGAATGAATAAATATAACAGAAAAAAATATTATTTTTTTATCCTAAAATATTAACAAAATATTATTTAAATAAAAATTTAAATTCAAGCAAAAAACCATAGAAACCCTAAAGTAGCATCTTCTATGATGTATTTGTATTTTTTTTTAAATAAAAATATATATTTTTTGTCAGATATAGAGTCTGTATTACTAATATAAAAATAATATTTTGTATATAATTGATGATTTTCATAAATAAATATAGTATGTATATATATTATTTTGCAATAACATTTATGAAAAGTAATTGTAATTAAAAAAAAAATTATTCAGTAAACAAACTTTATTTAAATACACAAATGGGTAATTATGGTATAAATTTGGGCCTAACCCAATTTCCAGCCCAAATTTTATATGGCCCAATTTGCCCCAATATTCATTTAAGTGCCTTAAAAATTGGTTTGTACAGGTTCAAATGACAAGTTTGTCGAAAATATTAAATCGAAACTGAATCTTTCAAATGACGGTTTTAGTTACAGTTTGACGGTTTCGATTACAGTTTATTAATCACCGATTTCAAATTAAAAACGGTCGGTTTCAGCTACAGTTTATTTAGATGTATTTATTATATAAAATTATATATATTACTAATTAATTAGTTTGTTACAATATAAAAATAATTAAAATAATAAGTTTAATAAAAAATTAAATTAATTTAAAAAAATAAATAAAAATAAATTATAAAAATATTGATGTAATAGATAATAAGATAAGTTACGGTATTTTAGGAAAGGTGTAATTTGTAGATAATTAAGAATGTATTAATATTAAATTAAGAATAAAATAACTAATTAGTTTAATTAAATTTTTTTTTTTTAAAAAAATTAAAAGTTTAAAATGTTATTTTTCATAAAAAGAAAGTGACATGTACTTAGGACGGACAGAAACGACAATGTCAACGTGGTGGTATGTGAGACGGAGAGAATATTATAAAATATACATAATTTTCATAATCAATAGATTTACATATACGCACTCACGGCCGTAGCAGCCGGACCAGTTTTCCCCTTTCCATTATTCGGGTCTTCTCCTTCTCTTTCTTTCCATCTTTTTATTCTTTTTTCTTCTTTCCTCCTCCTCATTCTTCTTGTCACACAGTGCCCGTGGTGAGAGATTATAAGAACAAACAGAAAAATTCGATTTCGATTTGAATTGTAAGTGTTGATTGAAAAACCGTTGAACCGGAGGCTTGAATCATCGAACTGAATGAAAAGTCTACCTAAGAACTTTCAGCATAAATTTACAAAAGTAATGTTCTTTATTATTCAAATTTATTCTATTTTTTTTTACCTTTAAATTTATTTAATTATTGAATTTAAAAAAAATAAAAATAAACTACTGTTTAATTATTATTTTTTATTCAACAATTATTTAATATTACTAATTATATTATATTCACTTTTATTCTTTTTAATTAGTAATTAAATTTTTCAAAAATAACTCCAATTATATTTTAATAAAATATTATTTTTGTTAATCCAGCTGCAGCTGCCGAACTCAAATGGCTAATTTCTCGGACGGAGGAAGTAATAAAGAGTAAAAAATCCGATACTGTAGAAAAAAACCTTTGGAACATTGTACCTCCCTCTCCAAGAAACCTCTTTCGAATTCCGATTTCGATCTCTGAAACTTTTCGAGTGGAGCGTAAGGAAGGAAGCGAGGAATCATCAATGGAAGGTGAAGAAGGAACGCAGCAGCCGCAGCTGGTGTTGGCGCACAAGCTATTCCTTCTCGCGCAACCTGATGTGGACGACATCGAAAAAGTTCGCATTCGGGATGAGGTCTTCAGCTTTATCACTACCCACGGTATCTAATTTGCTATCTCTCTGAGTTGTGCAGACATTTCTGTGTGTTTTATCGCATGAATGGTGGCTGAATGTTCTAGTTCTCTCAATTGGGGTTTTTTTCTAGATATGGCTCCACTGTACGAAAACCTAGTTGCCGACAAAGTTCTGAATTTAGATCAAAATGCCCTCGATTCGATGCGTGCCAAAATCGAGGATGAATTGAAGAAACTGGACGAGAAGTAAGTTTTGTCACTTGGTAAATTATGAGATTTGAGGCTCAACTTCAGTGGTTAATTGTTAATTTTGTAGTTTAATTAATTTCTTTGTGGAAATCTTAGGTATTAAATCGTATGGTAATATTTTCTGTTCTCTGCCTTCTTATTGGATCTAGGTTTAGTGAAGCCCTTCTTTATTTCTGGTGTGCAGACTGTAAGCACTGTTGATTCATGTCTGTTTGGTTGAATTAATATATATTTCTCTCTCTTAGGGTTTTAAAATTTGATTATTAAGTTAATGCCTAATTTATCAGGTGATTAGGCAGTATGCAGCTAGTGTACCTTTTATTCTGCCGTTTGCTTTCCTAGTGTTTTTGTTTGGATTTTGAATAGGAAAATTTTGAATTGGAATAGTTGTTTGGTACCATATAAATAAGTTTGTTGACGTGATGCTTTGAATGTAAAATTGATTTTTAATATATTATAAAAAATAAAAAATAGATTTGATGTTTTTGGAGTGAAAATTTTGTAGGAAGTAGAAATGCCCAAAAAAACACACACTAGTGATCTGTGGGTTTGGTTTCAATGGACAATTTATCTTGCAAAAACATGTGAATGCACTAAAAAGGCTATATAAATATGCGATACAAACTTGTAACTAATGTTAAAAAGTCTTTGAAAGTAGTGTATATCATCATCTCTGTATTTGTCAACTTGAAACTTAGATTGTTAACATTGTGCATTTGAATGGGAGATTGTAATGGAATTGCATGGTCCGTGAATTTCAATTTAAGAGCATATATGGTAGTGCTTACTGAGAGACTATTTCCTTATCGAAGGGTGTTTAATTTTAATCACTGTTGATATGGTGTCCTTGAATCTGAGATCTCCTAGAGTCGGGAAAATTTCAACAGCTGACACAAATATGTAATGCTGGAATGGATTGGAACCTCATTTTAATAATAATTAAATTGAATGCGACTGGACTCTAGAGAACTTTGCTAGTCTCGTAAAAGTTGTGCCTGAAAGGCAAACTTGTTTAATGAGATATTTGCAACCCTTTTAGTAGCAATGTGAAATTCAAGAGTGGCTTGTTGGTTGTCAAGCAAATTAGGTAGTGTAAGGAGGTTTGCAAGGTTTGATGTGGGTTTGCCCTAAAGGGCAAGATAATCGAGCAGAGATGGTAGTGTTGTCTGGGGATTTGTGGAAAAGCCACAGTATGTGCCAACCGTAAATTCTAGATTGTGAAGGTGATTTGATATTACTTCTATCTGTCATGGAGATGCCATTGATCTCATATAAGCCTTTCAGGTGGGGGGGAATGTCTTCAATTCATTATACTCTATATTCAATATGCATATATACTTGCATGAAAGCGTGGTTGAGTGATGAACTACTTAGTCTTAGGATGTGTTTGTTTGTGTCTTCGATCTTGTCTTCTCACTAGAAATTTACATTAATATGTTTTTTTCGCCTAAAACATCACATCCAACACTTACTTTTCCTTTAAAACATCACATTAAAAAATTATTTCCATTTTAAAATATAATTTAAAACGTCACATGCAAATTTTTTTCTTCATTCAAAAAAATATCTTAATCCAAAACACTCTAGAACACAAACACACCCTTCATCTGTTTGGATTTTTTTCTCTGGCATTTAACTTGGCTAGTTCCCAACTGTTTTAGGACATTTCTTGTTTCTTCAATGTTTCTTACAGTTGTAGCAAGTGTAAAAATTTATGTAATTAATGAATATTAGTTTATTACATCTGCCAAAGTGAGTTAAGATCGGAAAAGTCAAGATGCCCTTTTTATTTTTGTGCTTGCCTGTTGAGGTTTCACTGACTCATGTCACTTCTGCAGCCTGTTGTGTAATCTAAACATCTTGTCAGTTATTTATTTTTTCATTTGTTCTAGCAATAGTTTGTCAAGCATTTCTCTTTGTTAGGCTTCATGGAAGTAGTACTATATTGTAGTTTGCACTTAAGAAAGAAAAAAAACTTCTAATATCCTCAATAATAACATTTCAAAAATATCAGTAACATCCTCAATACACTAAAAGTACAATAGATGGATAAGCATTCAAGACCTTTTACCATGCATCCTAATCGAGTGTTTGCTTTCTTCTTACTTCCTTCTGGAAATTCGTTCAGGATTGCTGATGCTGAAGAAAATCTGGGTGAAAGTGAAGTTAGGGAGGCTCACTTGGCTAAATCCCTATTTTATATTCGAATTGGTGACAAGGTACAGATATAACAAGGGCTTTTTTTTTGTTTTTTTCTATTATTTTCCTATATCCATTCAATAATTTTCCTTTCTTGGATACAGGAGAAGGCACTCGAACAACTCAAGCTAACAGAAAGCAAGACTGTGGCAGTTGGACAAAAGATGGATCTGCTATTCCACACATTACAAATTGGTTTCTTTCACATGGACTTTGATCTTATCTCTAAAAGCATCGACAAAGCCAAGAAGTAAGCCCCACCTATTTAACACACGGGGATAAATTGTGCTCCGGCTTTGTTCTATTTTACTGACTTTGATTGGAACACTACAGCTTGTTTGAAGAGGGTGGCGATTGGGAGAGGAAGAACCGGTTGAAGGTGTATGAAGGTTTATATTGCATGTCCACTCGCAACTTCAAGAAAGCAGCCAGTCTTTTCCTTGATTCCATTTCTACATTCACCACTTACGAGCTTTTCCCGTACGACACCTTCATATTTTACACTGTCCTTACAAGCATCATATCCTTGGATAGAGTTTCCCTGAAACAAAAGGTATACTTACTTTCTTTCATGAAGTGACATTGTTCCAACTACACCTGTTTCTGCTTGTATCGTCTCCGTGGTTTTCCCTGTCTAAGCAGCAACGATGCTTAACCAATTATACCTGGCAGGTTGTGGACGCCCCGGAGATATTGACGGTCATTGGAAAAATTGCATATTTGTCAGACTTCTTGAACTCACTATACGACTGCCAATATAAATCATTTTTTACAGCATTCGGTAAGCATCTTCTTTGATGTTACTTGGTCTTATTCCTACTGATCCCGGATTGATTCAATATTCTAGTTCAAAGTTATAATAAACTTTATTTATTTATTTATTTATTTCTAGCTGGGTTGACCAAGCGTATCAAGTTGGATCGCTACTTGCATCCACACTTCCGGTACTACATGAGGGAGATCAGAACTGTCGTTTACTCACAGTTCTTGGAATCTTACAAGAGCGTGACAATAGAAGCTATGGCCAAGGCATTTGGAGTCTCCGTGGATTTTATTGACCTGTAAGTTGTTATTTCGAGACCTATAACACTTCCTATGTATCTGTGATATTCTCGATTACCACCATGTTCCTGTTGCACATAGGGAGCTGTCTCGTTTCATAGCAGCGGGGAAGTTACATTGCAAGATAGACAAAGTTGCCGGCATTTTAGAAACCAACCGTCCCGATGCCAAGAACGCCCTCTACCAATCAACCATCAAGCAAGGGGATTTCTTGTTGAACCGGATTCAGAAGCTGTCTCGTGTTATTGATCTTTGAAACAGACAGGTATGTCGACTCCCATGTTCTTTTAGGGTTACTTTGCTCGGATAAGGTGTTCTTGTATCGACCACTTGAGAAAATTCATAAACCTTTTTATGTGAAAATTCATCGGTTTCTCGTAAACCTTTTTATGTCTGATTTCTAATTTTATTGGTGAAAATGTTCTTTTTGCTTTGCTGCCTTTTATCATTTAGATTTGAGCTCTTTTTTCTCTCTTGTGTTTCTTTTGGTCATTTGATTACTATTACTATTTCTAATGTGTTTGTTTGGTGGATTAGTTAGGATTTCTACTATTCACTATAAATTTTCCCTCTCAAACCAAATCAAATATATATTTTTTATATTATATTAAAAATTAATTTTATATTTAAAATATCTAATTAACACCTATTTATATCATAGGCTATTACAATTTAAAATTTTTAATATTCAAATTTCAACTCAAAATTCAAACTCCTAAACAATACTCCATCCCAAATGCTCTAACATTTTATTTTTTGTGTTTATTTGTAGAATTTTGGTTTTGAATAGTAAAATTTTAAATTGAAAAAAATTAGTGTAATGTGAAATAAATATATGTTAGTGTGTAAAATTAAATTATACTATAATTTTTATCCATCAAAATTAAAATGAAGATCCTGTAAAATTAAATTATACTATAATTTTTTATCCATCAAAATATGGAATATAAATATGGGAATAAGAATGAAGAGAGGAGGTCCTGCATAGGGTTGGCAAACAGATCGGGTTCGGAAACAGAGTTACAAAACCTTTGACTAAACCTGATCCATTTAATTAAATTGGTTGATATTTGCAACATTAACCTGATCTTTTATTAATCGGGTTGATATTTGCAACATTAACCTGATCTTTTATTAATCGGGTCAACCTGAATCTAACTCGTATAACCCGTTTAATTTAAAAATTTTAAATTTTAATTTAAAAATAAAATTTATACTAACAAAATTTTTAAATGAATAATATATACGTATTAAAGCAAAAAATTATTTATTCATATCATGAAACCGATATTCAAGAATTGAATTAACAAATACTGCATAATAGTACACAACACAATTCTTTATTTTTTTTATTGTTTATTTTTATAAAATTGGCCATAAATATTGAATTGTATTGATAAAATTTTAAAAATATATTTAAATTTAAAATAATATTATTAAACAGGTTAGACAGGTTATTTTCAGGTCGAAAATGTAGACCTTAACCTGACCCATTTAATTAAATGGGTTAAACGGGTTTGACCCAATTATTAATTGGGTCGAAAATCTCAACCCAAATCCAACTATTTCAGGTCAAGTTCGGGTCGGGTTATCAGGTCGGGTTAATTTTTCCAGCCCTAGTCCTGCATCATATTTCTAAACTAAGTGGAGTGCCGCGCTATGCACATCTTGATTATAAATTTTATTAAATTTTTAAATTAACTATTGTTATTAAAATCTTTCTCGTTTTCATATAAATTGTACATCATTTTATTTTGGTCTCTTCTATCTAATTTGTATTATTTTAAAAAATATATATATAATTATATATTTTAAGCATATTTTAAAATAATAATTTATAATTTATAATTTAATTATTTAATTATTTTAATTTTAATTTATAATTATTTTTACTAGTACACTTCTTAATTACTCAATATTTAAAATTCAGTAAAAGTGAACAAATTATCTGAGATGAAGGGAGTAAAAGTTAATAAATTTTATCACAAAATATAAATTTTAATAATAATAATAATAGATGTTGATATATATGATAGCATTAACATATATAAAATTATGTTTATTTTTCTTTATTTTACGAGTATATATAAAAAAAAATTTTAAATAGACAAATATATTAAGATGGATAAAAAAATAATAACCTGTGAATTAATTGATGTTAAAAATAATATTCAAAATTCAAATAAATAATTTGTATATGTATTATTCATTTGCAATTAAATTATAAAAATAAAAATAAATTATTTATATTTGTAAGTTAATAGTATATAGTAGCAATCTATCTAAATTTGATTGCATATAAAATTTTAATTTTTATTTTACAATTTATAATTGCAATAAAAAAAAGTTTGACAATAATATTTTTATTTTTTATATTTTTCTAAATTTTTATTTAAATGATAGAAATAAGTAACAATGTATCAAAATTATGGAGTATTTGTTTATTTTATTTTCAACAATCTATTTTTATTGTTGGTTAAGAATAACACATGCTCATCTTATTGGTTCGAAAGCTAACAATTTTATAATTAATTCAACATTCAAATATAAAATATAAAATTCTTTTACTAAGTGTAACTTTATTACATATTGCAAATATTAGAAAATTTGTCTTTATTTACATCAATACATTAAAATATTATAGCAATTTCGATAAAAAGAAATATGGTGACAAAATAATGTATATATATAAGTATAAAAAATTACTATTTCTTTCGTCTCACATATAAATATCACACATTTCATTTATTTATGTCTCACATCTCATATATTCTCATATTTACACTTATTATAACATTATAACGGACAGAGATAATATTAAAATATAAAAGAAATTTTTTCTAAAAAATATAAATATATTTTTATATAATATATATATTTTTCATTTCAAAATATCACTTGTAGTTTATTTATATCAAATTTAATAATTATTTTATTTTAAAATTTGATACACAAAAGAATATCAAACAAATAATATATAACATAATACTCTATTTGTTCGTCAAAATCATATGACCATTCATTTTTTTTTTGTCTGCTAAACTTATATGCAATCCATTTATAATAAATAATTTTATGTATTTTTATAATTTTATTATCCTTATTTTAACAAATAATAACTAAATTGTCATTGTTTAAAAAATTATTCAACTATTTTTTTATCAATCATTTTAATAAATTTATTATAATACTATCACTTTATTTTTTTACATACATCACTTTAATATTAAAATTTCATAATTCCTTAGTCTCAATGCCTAAACAAACTATCATTTATAGGACGAAATGAATATAATACATACTATCGCGACCCACATTTTAAAAAATAATATGATTATTTTTTTCTTTGATGTGATTTTCACTACTTCATTTTCATCTCGAGTATCACATAGTATTAAAAGTGAAATATCATTAAATAATTAGAATGAAAAAGGATATAAGATCCACATCATTTTTTTTTTAAATAGACAAATAAAATAATTAAAATAAAAAATTAGCCCCACAAAAAAAAAAAAAAAAAAAAAAAAAAATGAAAAGTGGATCCAATACCAACAAAATTAATTTGTATTCTATCCGTTATATACAAATAATATCATTTCTATTTTATCTATTTTATAACAAATGAAATTTTTCTATATTTAATAATATTTACTAATTTAAAATATATTTAACAAATATAAATCAATTCAATTGACTTTATAATATATAACATCTTGTATCATAGAATCTACTTAAAATTCTTTTAATTTTTATTCCACATATAAATAAATAAATATTTTACAATTAAAATTCTTTATCTTTAATAAAAATTAGGTTTTATTAATTATTTATATTTATTCATTTGTACTATACGAATTTTATTATAAAATGATATACATATTGTATAGTATATTTATATTGAGTTATAATCTTTAAAATATTCAAATACATATTATATATTTCTAATTATATTTAATTTCTATTTTAAATTACTAATAATATTTCTTATATAAAAAATATAATAAAATAATACTCTTTTTGTCTCATTTACCTTGTGCACTTTTCGATTGTACTACTTATTCTGTCATTTTATTTTTTCGAAAAAGAATTATATATTTTAATCTCATTTTAAAATTTATAATTTATAATTTTTCTTAAATTTTAATTAGACTAAATACTTATTTTAATTTTAATATAAAATTCTTTTTATTATACTATAATTATTTTCACGAATACATTTTTATTTATTTACTAATTATACATGTGTCTACATAATCAATAGAAATATAATAAATTATTTTTATTATAGAATAATTATACCCGTGTCTACGTAAATTTTCGGGCTTACATAAAAAGAAAACACCGTAACAGGACCGTATTATTATTAACTAATTAAACATAATTATATTAAAAAATTAAATTAAATTATAAATATTATTATTAAATGGTGGGACCCACTATATAAAAAATTATTAAAATAAAACGATGAAGGTAAAAAAAAATCAAATCAAATAAAATAAAATTTAATTATATATTATTGCATATGGTCCCACATCCAAATATTAAAAAAAAAGAAAGAAAATCCAAAAAGTGCGACACGTGGCGACACACTTTCGTCGCTAAATATTATATATATATATATATATGATTCTACTTTTGATTTTTTCTTTATTTTTCCTTGATTTATTTCTTTTCTTCAATTGCATTTGTTGGTTTTAAATTCTTTTTGCTATATTTTAGTTTGCTTAAAACTCTAGTACACAAGTATGTTTTCTATCATTCCATCCAGTTAAGAGTAGCAATTCAATTCATTTATTTTTCTTACATGCACAATCTCATTGCTTCTTCTTTTTTTTTTTTTTTTTTTTTTTTTTTTTTTTTTACTTGAGTTATTGTTACCAAATTTATGCCAATTTTCTTTTATCCAACCAATTCAGTCTTATTCGTACGTCTATTTTTTTTTTTTTCCTTCGTAATCCAATAAATTAATTTTCACGCATTTAGATCTATGGTGAGACTAGTCCGGATACTTTCTTGAATAGTCCGAAAAATCTAAATTCTTGTTGATTTCGATTGGTCTAAATTTTTTGAACCGTCATCGACGAATTTTCAGTAACAATAATAATATAACAAATAGAAAATAAACGTTTGATTTGATATTGTCTGGAGGGAATTTCTTTTGAAATAGTAAAACTAAAACCTATACGAAAATTTCATAAGTAAATACAGAAATATATTCAAAATAAAAAATAATTAATATTACTTTATTTTATTACATAAACTAAATAAAAAAATAAATATATAGATCATTTAATTATTAAATTATCCTAATACCATCCATCTAAGTTTTACAATATATATGTGAGGAGTGGTATTTGGTAGTTTCAGTGTTTGTTTGTGTTTGTTCAGAAGAAATAAGAAGAGAAATGGCTGGTAGAGGGGTGAGTATTCAGAAAT